CGTATTAATTCTTCTGTGATTTGTTTGGCTTGGCCGATTTCGCTCAAACTTAGCAGGTAGGTCACACCTTCACCCTAGTTATCAGAAAATGTATCTCCTACAAATTTTGAATACAACACCTCAGACATAGCTCATTTTCCTCAGCTTGAGTGTGGGCACAAAGTTACTATGGTTAAATCTGAAAACAAATTCTGACCACCGTTTCCATGGAAACAGCCAACAACTGAATTTTTTAATACCTTCACGCCAAATGTATCACACCCTACATTTCTATGATTAAAAAGCATGGACGTAGCTCATTCTAATCCGCTTGAGTGTGGGCAACAATTTACTGAGATTTTTTTTTTGGCTTGGCTAATTTTGTTTATAATTGACAGGCAGGTCGTACCGTCACTAATTGGCAAAACAATCCTGGTCCACAGCTACCATGGCAACAGCCAAAAACTGTTTTTTGAATACTTTCGACCCCAAATTTATTACCTCCCACTAGTCTTGTATTCATGCCTTTTATTTTGGCTACGTTGCACACCAGTAAGAGATCACCGACGCCGACATTGTTACACTGTATCAACGTAATCCCGATGCAACTTTGAACTTTGAATGAACTGTAAATGCTGCCTGCAATCTAGAAAATACTATCGGTTGGAAATAATAAATTTAAGGGATTGTTCAGTTACTCTGGCCTGGGGGGTGGCAGATTCCATTTTGTCAGCTGTAAATCTCAGTTGACCCACCCCTGTCAACAACAAAAATTTGGCGACCCCCTAAAATTATATTTTAAAACATGCTGACCCCCCCGAAAAACAAAGAAACATTAACAGTTTTGGCTCTGACATGATTACAAAATGTATGATGTGCATTGAAAATATCGTGGTTTGCCGTAATTTTTAGTGTTTGCATTTAATAGACCAGTCACCTTAGGAGGGGAGGGGAAGCATAAAGCCAAAAAAACGACTACAGAAAAGGCTGCAGGAAGTAGGGAAATCTATGCTGCTAAAGATAGTAAATAAAAACAAAGCTGTGGAGTACTCACTTGATAAACGCCCTTATAAGATAGGAAAAGAGGATTTGAATCTAGGCGGTTTGAAAACTAATTTGGATTTAATATATCTTTCATATCTTATAGACCAGGAATGCTTTTACACCCGAAGCACAGTCTGTGCTTATAAAAACAAAAGAAACTTTGATTTTTGCTTAAATTTGTGTTGGATTTGGTATTTTACAGAGGAAAATATGCATTATTTAAAAGTGAAAAAAAAAACAAAAGAAAAACTATTTATTTTTTCATCATTTATTTTAATTTATATATCAGCATTTTCACAAATTTAACTTTTTTGATTTGCTGAACAAAAACTGTCACTGCTCTTTGTACTAATTGCTGTGTTTTTCCGTCTCCAGCTACAAATGGATAAATCCAGTAAATATCTTATACAATGGTGACTTCAGACTTTAAATAAAATAATCTGATATCACAGGAACTTGAGATGTGTTCAAAACTTAACTGTATAATTGCATGGGGCTCTGCCGCATTGCATAATCTGTTAGTTATTTGTCAACTTCAACCCCAAAATATTTAGCCTATCACATTTTTTGCATCAACAAATTTATAGGCAATATGGGTAATAGTTATTATTAAGAACACATTTGTACGATTAACTTTTTAATCTATTGTTCTGAAATAAAATTTAAAAAAATATATGCATAAGCGCGTGTGTGAATTGTGGAAAACAGGGTGACCCCCCCATTCGCAAAATCAAAAACAGGGTAACCCCCCTACTGATCCACCCCAGGCCGAAGTAACTGACCAATCCCTAACAACAGCATACGTCCTAGCAATAAAATAAAATGACTTCTAAGGACTGAATGTTTTTTTGCGAACTATGTATACGGTGCCCGGCTTTAGTTATAAACCGACGTTAGCTTCACGTTCATGTTCTACCATGGCAATAGCCGAAAACATATTGCTAGTTTTTTTTTAGTGAGTGGATCGCCAACCGGCTTGTTTTCATTGGCAAAATCGTTCAGCAACATGTTTGGCAT